CAATACCTTAAGTTAGATAAAACAGGTCTACTGAAAGCTGTTTCATTATTTTATTGAATTTTCTGGTCATAACGATGATTCTAGCCTTATTCCGCTGGTTTATGCTTATTCCGCTAGTATATGCCTATTCCGCTCATATGCCGCTAAATCGGAAATGTCTATTRCAGTATTCACAAAATTCTGTTTTGAAAAGTGTAAGCATTTGAATATAGAAATCAATAGTACTGACTAGATTAGGTGTTAAGTTCGTTGGGGAATCGAGAATCACAATCATTTCTTTCACAAGAAAATGTTTATGAATCCTTTGAGATCTTTTTCGAACGATACGCTTTGCTGATTGTTCTTTGCATCATTGAATTTAGTGCCAACTTGAGACAAATTGCCGCCAAATTTAATGTCAGGCAAGAGCTGTGCAGTAGGAAATTCACGAGCTCACAGTCATTCCCCGAAGAGAACATGGTGGCCTGGCTGCAGACTTGGCCGACCAACGTAGCGGCTATGAACTAAACGAAACAGTAAACATATTCGGTGTCTAGATTTGGTGAAGGTCGAGCTAGGAATTCATGCACGCAATTGATAATCAAACTGCGAACTGGAGCTAGAGATATTTTAGCAAACCAAACATACATACGGATATTTATCTATTTAAAGTGGCTTTCCGCGCTGTACTTTCATATATGGGACATTAAATGCCAATATGGCTGCTATGGCTTTGTCATCTCATTCTCGTTGAAATGTCAGGAAAATAAAACGACTATTACTAAAACTAGAGTGTGTTCAACCATGTGAGTCAAAATCCCTTGAGTTGTAAATAACAATGAAACAGACGCCATCTTGGTTGATCTAACAAGAGAAGCTAATGATGAATGCTTCGTTATCGTCATCCAAGATGGCGGCTATGACGTAACATGCACATGCTCTATGAAGAGATTAATTGTATTTTTTTTGCTAAGGGTGTGATGTTTGCCAACATGAAAGCACTGCAGTCTGTGAGAAACATAAGGCAGAATACTCCAAGCCCAAATCTATCACGGACACAGATAAAGAGTACAAACTGAGCTCCGCCATTGCGTCGTTCCCAAACGAAGTCCAGCTGTGTCGCTCGAGTATCCCTGGTTCCAAGTATGGTGTCGTTACCAAATGCTATATTCCAAAGGGGACTTGGCTTGGACCTTATGAAGGCACCAAAGTGAGGCCAGAGGGTGTGACTCTTGGAACGGATGCGACGTATATGTGGGAGGTAGGGCCGGGATGGTCTGGAGGGTAGACTGTAGACTTTTATTTATTCACACACTTATTTACAATATTCAAATATATAGGAAAGAGATATAAATATACCATTGAATTACAATAAACCAATCAAATAATAACAATCACGTTTGGGTGTGCGTAGCTGTCGAAGTAGTAAAAACTTTCGAGTCGACAGCCACAGAGACGTTTGTTTGAGAAAACAATTTGGGAACCTTCAATTTGGACGTAATTTGTTTTCAATTTTAAAGCCTCTTGCGTATAGACCAAATTCAAAACTCGCACCGATGTGAGACTTAAGTTGTGAACAAAGGGATCTGGCGTGACTCAAAGTAATCTGGCGTGATTTAAAAGTCACGAATCACGCCAGATTCCTTTGTTCACGACTTAAGCCTCACATCGGTGCGAGTTTTGAATTCTTTGTTCAAGTTTCATATGTAAATCAATATGTGTCGTCCATAACGTCTCATCCTCTATATCATATTGAATAAAGAAATAGTTCTCAAGGAAACTATACGTCAATATTATTCTAAGTAAAAGTGCTCAAATGCATATAACGTTTTATTTAAGGTTTTTCACGAAGGAAAGTTATCCTTTTATCTGGATGGAAGCGATGAAGACTCATCCAGTTGGATGAGGTTCATAAGCTGTGCTCGTAACAGCACAGAACAAAACCTGTACGCCTTCCAGTATTGTGGCAACATTTACTACCGGGCTTTTAAAGAAATACCCCCGGGTACAGAACTCCTGGTCTGGTACGATGAAATCTACCCGCACTTCATGGGAATCCCTTTGGAGATCCATGAAACAGAAGGAATTTATCAAAGAGGTAAATAAAAGAGTAATCTTTTGGTAACTAATTGTGGATACCAGCACTAAAAATCTCTTTCTCTCTCTCATTTGTTGAGGTGATGCAATACGCGCGCGTGGAACCAATTTTTCATATAATATGCTTGTAGCGCAACACAAGACGGAGAGGTTCCTTAGCAGCTTCAACCCCACTTCGTTGCGCGAAGACTTGCTATTTTGAATTTAGTGACATCTTTCCATATGAAAAATATACAAACTGTGTAGTAAATTAACCTGTAACTTTGCTCTAACCTTTCTCTTACAGCAGGTGATCCCAACAAGAAGGACAACGAAGTCGTGGTAGTCGTACCTCCATATATTCACGCTTCATGCTCGCTTCAAGACATACCCACTGCCCATGCTCGGATGGTAAATCCCGCTTCATCTCAGATTAATCCTGCTCTACCAGGTGTCTCTGCAGTGAATTCTTATGCCAGAACGTCTCATCAAGCTTCTTCAGGGTTCAATCCAGCCGACCTCCCTCTTGACGGGAGAACCAGGTCGTCATGGCAACAGCCAGGACACAGCGTTGCCTCGCCTGTGCCAGTCTCACACAAAGAGCCGGGAGAAACTTCTGAATTACTAAAGCGAAGAAAAAAACGAGCAAGCTTAAGAAGAGCACAGTTACCATGGCAACACGCAGCCAATGTACCTACCTCCCCCGGATCTGAGCTGTTGCTAAAAAGACCAAATAGTGGAGTAGAGGTGACCGGTGGACAACCGTTGCACTACCAAAGTACGCCGTYTTCATCCCCCGGAACTCAAATAGAGACACGATCACTAGAAGAAAGCTTGACATCAGGCATGCCAAAGTCTGATCCGTACAACTTACATATACAACTAGATTCAAGTTCGGAACCAAGTCCATCGCTAAGGAATCGAAGCTCTTCAAATCATGAACGTGCTGGTAGTAGTGATTCTTCCCCTGAGGCGAGGATAAGGCCAGAAGGAATCAACAACGATGATAATGAATTTCAATGTGGACAGTGTGGAAAGACATTTCCACAGAGGTCTGTTTTGCAAATCCACGTCTGCCCCAAAGCACCGTATAAACCGTATCACTGTGGTCACTGTTCACAGCTTTTCTCTGATCCAAACGAACTGCGGAACCACGCTATTATACATATCAATGAGAAGCCATTCAAGTGTGGCTATTGTTCTCGCTCATTCTCAGGTGCTACCACGCTCAATAACCATATAAGGACACATACCGGAGAGAAGCCATTTGAGTGCAGTGTTTGTGGGAAAACGTTTTCACAGGCTTCTCAGCTTAGCAGACACGAAAAGATACCTGGAGATTGTGTTCGGAAATAATTCATTAGTTAATAAAATTCCAGTGACTGTTTGTATAGGATAAAATACAACAATACAAATGATTGTCACAACGACGCCTCTCTAGAACCCTTTTGAATCTAATTGGTATGGATAATACTTGAGTCTAATAAAATTACTATTTCACAGAAGTGGGTCGCTTTAATAATAAACTTATTCTACTCAAACCTATTGATGGGTTGCAAACTTTTCCAAGAGAGTCAAAAGACAAAAACATGGAGGCCATTGTGGTACCGTTAACAATGGATGCTAATGAGAAATCTTTTGTTAAATGGCACCAACATGGCCGCGATGACGCAACGTGCAATCGAAGAATAGCTTTTCTATCAAAAAATTCTTACCATTATCGCTAGGTAGGAACGTCGTATGATGCAAGGCGGTATAGCCACCAATTATTTGAGTGGTCAGGTTTTTTAAACAAGTTTTTTATGTACTTGTGTAATGAATATTTTTTTACGAGAGCGAAAGATGGTTCTGACGGTAAAAAGTTGTACGGTTAAAACCAGATCAACCATATTGGTGGCAAAGGCCCTGATATGATACATTATCTTACTCCTATCATTAAATGTATTTGGTGATCCAACATTCTCTTACCCAAAGCCTTCACAGCTGTCTAAAATCGAATGCTCTTTGATTATTTGTTGAGAAGGGTATGGGTACGAGAATGGTGCTCCACGTGTTTGTATCATACTGAAAGTACCATACCACTAATTTTAACCCCCTCAATCAAGTCTGAATTTCAAGATATCGAACGTGTGACCTGTTTGATTGACGGAAATCCAAATCCCTACAACAAGTCTGGTATGTTATTTAAGAAAATGCCTAAGAGTAGATGGAGGGCTACACTGAAAATTAATTAAGGTATTCAGGAGACTTCTAATAGCCATTCCAAGGTTGAGGAAAAGACTGGGTCAACTTGCATGTAGTGCATTGTGGGATTGTTGTAAGGGACATATTTATATATCTATATCGTCCTCTAAACCAGTCCCACGATGCAATGCTCCGCAAACTCAACCAAATTTCCCCCTTAACCTGAGAATGGCTAATATTATCATAGGTATATTAGTATAAAATTAAACAGATCTAGAAATTGTTGTACATTAATTTTTTACGAAAGCAAAACGCTAACTTATAAAAATCATTATGATCTGAAGCACGTACTCGAGGTAAGAGTTATATATTTTTTAATGGATAATTTCAAGCTTATGTATTTACAACATTATTTACCAACATCTCTAGACCTTCATAACTAGTGCTGTCCTCGTATCTTTTATACCTTTTACGCGTTTCATTTCAGTTAAAGAAATTAGAGTAGTATTATACAATTTGGAGATATGCTATTTAGTTACAAGGCGCGCAGTCCCCGGGCACATTAAGATATGTCTGCTCAACTGCAACCCCTTAGTGAAACTTTTTCCGCATTTTAAGCAATGAAATGGCTTTTCCCCGGTATGCGTTCGAATGTGGTTGTTAAGAGTAGAGGCGCCAGAGAAGGAACGCATGCAGAAGCCGCACTTAAATGGCTTCTTTCCCTGGTGAGTTACAGCATGTAAGCGCATCAATCCAGGATTAGAAAACGTTTCGTTACAATGTCCACACTGATATGGCTTCAAAAGTACGCCTGCACAGATATGAGTTTGTAAGATTGAGCGCTGAATAAAGACTTGTTTGCACTGTCCACACTGGAGCTGCGTGGTTTTGGGGTCTACCGCCTGCGGCTGCGCATTATTCAGCTTGACGCTGATTGGCGTCGCGAAATGATCTTTGGGGTTTGAAGCTGTTAAACTTTTAGCTTGGTTCTCGTCTGTATTTGACAGTGAACCATTTGGCTGAAATCCAAAGACTCTTTTCCTTGTCTCATTCTGATTGGTTATAGGTACATCCTCTGGAAATTTAAGCCTTTTGATTGGCTGAGTTGATGACTCTGATGAACTTGAATCAGACGGGCTGGTGATTGGGGTTTTGTTGTTAGGAGAGGCTACGTTGAGTGACTGGTTAGTGAAGGGATTGTCCGTAGACTTTGTAGGTGTGGTAGGAGGTGTGGGTATCTTGTCTTGTGCTACCTTGACGCTTGTCTCAAAAACATGTGATGCACCTGCCAAAATGACAAAAATAATATTGCTATTATACTACTGCTACTGCTACTGCTACTGCTACTGCTACTGCTACTGCTACTGCTACTG